AGTCATCTCTCACAATAGACTCTTTTATTTATTTAGAGTAAAACCCATTAAGTTTATCAATTTTAGAGTTTACGGCCTATTCACCAGACCCTTCCGGGTAACTAGCCACTCCCTGTGAAAATATACATTTTTATCAAAGTATACACATAAATAAAACTATATTTTAACATTTGTCAATAATTTATAGTATAAGGGTCACATAATAACAAACACAAAATGACTTACGATCGAAGACCTCGCGACCAACCGTGTTACAAAATACCGCGCGCCTAACGTTGGCTCACGGAGGGTTCAGATGCAAGTCGGCACGGGTTCCCGTTTATAGAATGAGCTGAAATTTTTACTGAGAGTATATAAACACGTAATAAATATAATTAGAGGGTATGCGTAAAAAAATAAAAAATAAGGGACACCCTAATGTAGGTGTTACAAAAATTGATTCTACCCTCCGTGAATCTGTTTTTGCTTTAAATTTTATGCAACGGATTTATTCATTTTAAATAAGCAAAAACCTCTGTTTACGACATAATAGATGCACATGATTCCTGAAGGTCAGTTAGAATTTATATGCAGATGAGAGTGTTGCTGTTGTATAATTCAAAAGTTTAGTTCATTAATTTTCTATTTAAAAACCTACCCACCGTGAAGTTTAAGATTTCTTAAGTAGATTTTTTTATAAATATTTTATGTATGTACAATTGTATTTTTAAAGAGTCAAGAGTTCAAATATACAAAGATGTTTAAAAAAACATGTTTAAAAAAACATCCTAACCTCCGTGAAGCTCTAATATTCAAAATTTATGATTTCTTAAAATTCTTGCGTTAGTGCAGAACCACTTATGTTATATATTATTACCAGACCCCATTCTAGACTAACAGTGAAACAAGCAAAAATAAAAAATAATCATTTTCACTTGGGGGACATCTCAATATATTCACCCATATACTTAATGAAGTTGAAAATACAATTTGTTCCCATTGTAAAAAAATTGAATTAATTCGTGACTTTTTTAAAACTGTCATTTGAATTAATTCGCGAATTAAATCACTGACTTAATTCATATGAATTAATTCGTGCCAACCCTGGTTTGAACTATTGATTACTTTTAATTTTTGATAATTTGCGTATTAAAACCTTTATATGTTATCACAACACTTTACTGGCCAACTCTCAAAACACATTTTGTGGACATAATAATTATTATATATAATGTCCATAATAATTATTATATATAATGTCCTAGACATGGAAGGATACTTGGTGCACCCCGTATATCCTGAAAATGTCTCGACGCCAGGCTAAATAAGGAATTTAAAAAAGATTGCAATTATAACTTTGTTAAATTGATGTTAAATTTGCTCTATTTTCGGGACATTCGGTATGGTAAACGTTAAGTATAAATTGGCGAATTTGTAACAATCAGATACTGCCGTAGGTATTTCTCAAGGCCTCCATTATTAAACCTCACCCTACTTTTTACAGCGATTTTGTAACGCCCAATTAATACAAATAATAATACCTACTGATCAAGTTACATTGTTGTTGTTTTTTACGGAGTGAATGAAAGATTACCTATGTAAGACGTGTATGTAGCATATGAAAATTTTATATACTTCCTAAAACACAGTGGCGTGCAGTGTTATTTAAAATGGGGTATGCAACAGAATCGAAAATTTCTTTCTTTGCCCAAAATTGGTTGCATTGATTAAAACAAACTAAACTAGTTATAAATGTAATTATAATGTAGGTAATTGTGGTTATGTTTAAATTATTGTGGGTTACATTGAACGGTTGTCAAGTTGAGTTGTCAAAATTCGTAGTTAAAAATGCAATTAATTTGGCTTTGGTGGTGCGCAGATGAGTAAAATCGTATAAAAAAGTAGTTAAATATAGGTGACTACGGCCCAGGAGAGACAAAGTATTCCTAGCGGATAATAATCTTCGCTTTGAAAAGAAGTTTTATAAAAGAAATTAAAATTTTATGTGAACACACGTGAATGTTGTCCAATCATTGGACTCCAATGGTGAATGGGTATTTTTTTAAAGCCACTGGACGTTAATACTTTCGTAATTATTGCTTATCTTTTTTAAACCAAATGGATGCTATTTTCAAAGGAAAATTTACTACTAGATTTTTCACAAAAAAGTTGAACCTAACAGTAAATAATTTTTATTTTTTGTTTTCTTATTTCCCTCTTATTTTTTAAAATTTCAAAAAATTTTGATCTGCTTAGCTGAAAATAATGACCAGAACTTATTTTTTTATTTAAATTGTTTATTTGTTTCCCATGTTAACTTTCTATCCAAGTAATTACCCAAAAACTTTATGGTTTCTGCAGACTCAATGATGACCTATAACACTGTAGGGAGGTGAAAATATCACAGCTAAACGCTCGGACACTTAAACTTAATTTTTGGTCATAGATTATAAATCCATGCTTGGTTTAGCTGTATCAGGTCAAAATTTAAAGGTATTGCAAACACCCTGTATAAATTTAAAAAAAAAAATCAATTTGGCTGGACCCACACATCAGTTCCAAATTAAAAAAAAAAATCTTGCAAAATTTGTTAATTGATCAAAAGGAACACGTGTCCCTGAGGGTTTTTTATGGATAATTTAGGAAATTCAAAATGTTTTTTTGCTAATTTTTTTTATTGAGTAAATTTAAGGATATTATATTAATTGAAATAAAAAGCATAGAAATTTTTTTTATTGAGTAAATTTAAGGATATTATATTAATTGAAATAAAAAGCATAGAAATGTTGGCAAGAGAGGCGAAATATATTATTTTGCAAGTTATAATATACCAGTACACATTGTGCACAGTGGATCGGATTTCCGATAGGAAAAACTTTTCTAGAGCACGGATTTGGAATCTACGACCAAAAATTATGTTTACGTGTCCAAGCGTTTAGCTGTGATATTTCAAGAGTTAAAAATTTACCTAGAGTGTAATTGGAATAAATAGATCATAATCTGGTGAAACATTTTTTGGCAAAAACCGCATATAGACCATTTTCTTCACACCATATATTGAATAAATTAGATTTTAAAGAAGCTTCAAAGCATAAGTTTGAAATATTAGATACTATTTTGAATTATAAGGTTTTTATCATCTGCATACAGAATAAGTTGCTGATTTATATTCGTATTTAAATTTAAATCATTTACAAATATTACAAATAGAAGTGGCCCCAATATTGATCCTTGAGGTACTCCTAATGTTACTCTGGATATATCCGATTTTTCATCATTTATAGATACAACTTGGGTTCTGTATAATAAACATGATTCCAGCCATTTATTTGCTTCACCTCTAACTCGTATATTTTCAAGTTTATGTAATAATAATCTATGATTAATAGCATTTATGATGTGTTGATAGTGTAAAATGCACGACTTAGGTCATAAAACAATCCAACAACATGCTGTTTTTCATTTAAAATATAATGCACTCTCTATTTCTGTGTTAGTGGACTTATTTCTCCTAAACCCATTTTGAAATTCAAAAAGTAGTTTTTTTAGATTCCATCTATTATTTTGCTAAACAGATTTTGAAGTCTAACTGGTCTGTAATTAATTGCATTGAAAGATTCTTTCCATTTCTACCAAGAAAATATACTTTTTTTTAATGTTATTTAATAAATATTCATATATTATATCATATGAATTTAATCGGTTAAACTAGGCTCAGTAGTTTTTTGTTTGGTTTTTCTTGGAAAATGTTGAATGCAAAATAATTTAATAAAAGGGGTTTTATTTTTAATTATTTTGCATGAAACTATTTTCCAAAAAGAAAAATCAAATAAAAAACTTACTGAGCATAGTTTGACAGATTAAATTTATAGGTTGAGTGATATACGTCTACACCTTTTCCAGTTGATATTCAGAAAGTAGCAATTGATATTCAGAAAGCAGCAATTGATTTTCAGATATTGCAAATGAAATTCAGAAAATAGCAAATGTAATTCAGATATTTCAAATGATATTCAGAAAGTAGCTGATGTAATTCAGATATTGCAAATGATATTCAGACAGTAGCAATTGATATTCAGAAATTACAAATAGTATTCAGACATTAACAATTGTAATTCAGAATATGTCAATTGAAATTCAGAAATTAACAAATGATAACATTTTCATACTTCATTTTACTTATTTTCTAAAATCTCAATTTAATGTATTTCTTTGTATATTGCTTTGTTTCCATGGAATTGACAATAATAAACAAATTTATCACCATTTAAGTAGGTATATTTGTCATAATTGTCAACTTATTGTTCATATGTACTTTATATAAATTTCATTTACTTAGTTAATAAAGATAACGTGTACTGTTCCTGAACCAATTGCTGCGGCTGAATTACATTTGATTTAATCTGAAAAAAATTTGCTACTTCCTGAATTACAATTGCAAGTTTCTGAAAATCAATTGTGTTATCTGAATTACAATTGCTACTTTCTTAAAATCAATTGTGTTATCTGAATTACATATGCTACTCTCTTAAAATCAATTGGAATAGCTGAATTACAATTCCTACTATCTGAATATCAACTGGAATAACTGAATTACAATTCCTACTTTCTGAATATCAACTGGAAAAGGTGTAGATTATTTCTCGAATTAAAGGAAACTATTTGACAATTCATAAAATCTGACGTATGTGTCAAAATTTATAAATATTTTTTTAAAGAAAATTCCATTAATTTAAGGTATGTAATAAGTAATAATTGATATTTCGTAAACTAGATAGCTTATTTTTTATTGTTTTTAAAAAAAATGTTTGTTACAACTTGTAAATAACACCATAAAATCGTAAACAAAAATCCAATATGGAGGCTAAAATTTAATCGCTGTTAAATAGTTTTAGTGATTTAATCGCTTATTTAAACGAAATTTATTCGAAAATTCAAGGCTTTTGATTGGTTCATATTATAATGAGGGAAGTAATCAACATGAAAACTCTAAAATTAAATTTTTTCAATGAACAATCCAGATATGCCGAAGTATATCGTTCAAAGAGGAGCCCAACGAGTTCCCGTACCTGGACGACATGCGGTCGTCGACATCTTCGGGCGCCGCCTCCAGCCACCTGCAAGTACAAAGCGCCGCCGCCGGCGGCAGCAGCACCACCTCCTCGGCCTCGACGACCGCCATGATGGACCCGCGGCTGATGCCGCTGCAGCACGGAAACGGCGGGGGCGGCGCGCGGGCGGGCCACCACGCCGCCCCCAAGCAGAGCATGCCGTTCCTCCACAACGACGCCCTCGGGCCCATGGTGGGGCGGTTCCCCGGCCTCCAAATGGACCACGCCGCACAAGGTCAGTAACTTTTCCTGTCAATTTACAAAACTTTCGTTTTCTACTCGTCAAAATCTTACATTTGAAACCCATATCAAGGAGGTTGTGATAAGGTATACCTAACTTTAATAACACAGTACGACCAAATTTGATTTTTTTCCCTCCCATGAAAAATTTCTATAGATTTTGAAAATAGACTTAAAAAATGGCGTTTTTTCATATCACGTCATTTTTTTTTAAGTGCGATCCAATAAAATGTTATCCACGGTATTCGGCACATAATATAACCGCTTCGATAACAGCTAGACAGTACATTTTTATAAAAAAAATATTCACTGAATAAATGGACAACCATTAAAATTATTTATTTATTTTAAAATTATTTTAATTATATATTGAGAGTTTCTGAGAAACGGCAAAAGATATCGATTTGAAATTTTTAATGCGTTTATAATCCAATTAAGCCTATTTTAACTTTGTTATTTTAAATAGAACACCCCATATAGGTATTTTTACATTTTTAAATTCTACATAAAATTTTGAGTAAAATTACTGTACCAAGTCCTATACCTATTCTATATTCTTTTTCTATGGTGAATAGTTTTCGAGTTATTAATTTTTTCCGTTAAAATATGACAAATGCGCGTCAATCAAAAATAGCCTATAGCTTTCTTGCTATTAAGTTTGCGGGAATGGAATTTTTGAAATCATAAAACATTATTTAAAAGATTCCATGTACTATGCTCCACACTTCAAAGTCCCACCACGTGACCAGGTACGGAACGCAATCTTTTGAAAATTTGTCATTTAAGGCTTTTCAGGTTATGTATCTGTCAAAGTATAGTAAATGAAAGAAATAATATTTATACTGTTACCGTTTATGTTTAAGCGTTAAAAGTTTATAAATCTTTATAGTATCACAGTAACAATGGTTGGTTTAAGAGTTTAGGAGTGTAAATACTAAGGTTATTTATACCTAATGATTGTTCGATGTAGATAAAATTTTGTCGATGCTTTTATAGGTACTTGTATTGACACTATGGGTATATTAGCTGACAGTGTAAAATTTCAAAATTAGATGATATTTTTTGTTATAATATATTAACCTACCTTTGATACAGATAGGTATTCTTATTCCATAATAGACAAGATAATTTTTTTTAATAAATGCCGTTTAGTTAAAACTATTTAATGGATAAAACCAGATATATGTAGACCAAATGCACAAAAATTTTACTTATTTGGCACTATACACTTTAGAATTTCATTAAACCAACCATTGTTACTGTTAAACATAAATGGTAACAGTATAAATATTATTTCTTGCATTGACTATACTTTGACAGATACATAACCTGAAAAGCCTTAAATGACAAATTATCAAAAGACTGCGTTCCGTACGTGGTCACGTGGTGGGACTTTGAAGTGTGGAGCATAGTACGTAAATTCCTTAACATACCGGGTGTTAAATTTAAAATAAAAAAGTTATTAACGTTTCAAGTTAGCTCATTTTGCCCTGGGGTTTCTCGGGTAATTTGTTGAAAAACGTTAAAGAATTGACATGGAATTTTTTAAACAGTGTTTTAAGATTCCAAACATTTAACCCCTATATCAGTAAACCTAATAGCAAACATCTAGAAAACAGTTTTCTGAAAACTATTCACTTTAGGTATAGGACATGGTACAGTAATTTTACTCAGAATTTTATGTAGAATTTAAAAATGTAAAAATATATGGGGTGTTCTATTTGAAATAACAAAGTTTATTTCACTTCCGGTCAAACCGGAAGTAGCATTTTGTTTAAGATATTAAAAAAAAATAGACTTAATGGATTATAAACGCTTTTAATTTTCAAATCGATATCCTTTTCGTTCTCCACAAACTTCCAATGGACCACGAATGTGAAACACCCTGTATATCAAGTGGTGTTTTTAGGTTGTGATACCACTATAGATCCGAAAGAAATGTATAATCTATAAACTAAAAGATTAAGATTTGTTTTTAACATATATTTAATATAAGATAAATACAAATCTGTTGGTTTATTAAAAAAAAATCCAAAATTAAAGCCAGAAATATTTTTTTACTTAACAAAAATAAAATTGATATTTTTTTAAGTATATTTTTTGTATTATGTAAAAACATAAAATATTTGAAGAAAAAAAATGATTTATAACAAAATAGAGAATTAAAAATCTGTTTAGGTTAAAATAATAAGAATGGCTGTGTAAAAAATTTAAATGACTTGATTTCGTGAAACGGTGAAACACGGCTAGGTTTTTTTAACCTTTATTTTTAAAATCTGTTGAAATTTTTCATGGGAGAAAAATCGTGTTGTACTGTGTAAGGGTGTTTCACATTTGTGGTCCATTAGAAGTTTCAGAGGAATGGAAAAAGATATTGACAGAAAGAAGTGAAATTTTGTTAAAAATATTTTAGAAACGCTTTTAAAATTTCACATCATCATTTTTCGTTCCCCAGAAATTTGTAATGGACCACAAATGTGAAACACTCTGTATTTAGTATTTTTGCTAGCGTTCCGTATAAGTATATCAAAATAATAAAGTAAGTATGCAATCATTTACCTAAAATGTTCTACAATCATCTTTAAAACAAGGTTTAAAAAGTCATTAAAAATATTTTGATTGTAGGAATTATCAACTAACCTTAATAATCATCGTAAACATGCAAAAAACATATTATTTAACCCTAATTGCCGACTAACATCTAACATAACGAATTAACCAATGGTATATGCACTCTGGGACTCTTATCTGTGACTTGTGCTTTTATTCAGTTCACATCACAGGCAGAGTTCTAGCTGTGCGTCTACCGACAGCTTCAGCTTCAAGTTTCGATATTGCCGAGTTGTATTTAAACGGTGTGCTTTTGGGACTTTGTGTTTGTGTCATTTTGTTTTATGTACAGGGTGAACCAAGTATTTTTTTACAAGATCCATTAAATTAGACAGAAGTTGCTTAATTACAGGAATTTTAATTTAAAAAATCAGCGGTTCTCAAATAATAATAAAAAACTTCGTTATTCCTAGGAATTTTGAAAAAAATAAGGTACTAATAAACATAAATTTTTATTTACATTTTCATTTTTTCGCCTACTTGATTTGAGATACCACCACCATCTTTTGTTTTTTCTATGGAAGCCATATTGAAATTTTACTTGATTAGATAGAAACAAATCAAGGAATACAAAACAATGTATCAAACTACATAAGTTATGGCCGCCATTATAAAAACAAAATAAATTGGATGAAAATGTAGATTATTACTCATGTATACTTAAATGTAAAATTTCCTTTGTTTAAAATTTTTGGTTTTGAAATAATTTGAGAACGTTTTGTTTTTTTACAAATTTATAAATTTTATGTTAAAGGTATTCTTGGTGCACCCTGTATATACTTTAGAGTAAAAATTTCTCAAACGGGTTATCCATAAACCATATTCTAATTGACGCGTGTCTCAGTTTTTTTGGATTTATATATTGCATTTTGTGTCAAATAGTCCATTTGAGAAATTTTTACTCTTGTATATTTTACTTTTATAGTTAATTGAATCTCTCTATTTACCAACTAAATAAATTAAATAACCCTGTGTATTATTTTTTTAACTTTTGACTGTACTTTCCAAAAAAGCACCAATCGCATCACGGAATTCTCTGTGGCAATCTAGTGTGCGGTGGAGAATGCCGTTCTCCGATTGGTTTATTGCTTGTCATGGAAAGTAAAGTCAAACATTTCAAGAAAGATTCCCCTGGTTAGAAAATAATTTTAATAGTATATTAATATACTATACTATGGCACGCCGTTTTAAAATTTATTTAATAATTTTTTAATTTAAAATTTTATTGGTTTAAAATTTTCCTAACTAAAAATTTCAGGTTTACATTTATAAATTTAAAATATTTTCAACTAATATGTACCTAATGAAAGACAAAATTTACTAACAGTTTACTTCTGTATTAAACAATATTATTTCCAATCAATTTTAGCAAAAATTTGTAAGCATCATTTTTAAATAAAAATAATTTTGAAAAATAATTTATTTGGGCAGAATTTTGTAAATCTTAAATAAATACCTATTTAATAAAATTATTTAGATTCAATTTGTAAAGTTAAATTTTTTAATAGGTATTTATTTTTTTATTAAAATAGAAACACATATAAAACATTTTCTACCAAAATAGTTTAAGAAGTTTTAATGTTTTATTCTACAAAATTATTGGTTTAAATTTGTAAAGAGTCATTTCTATTATAGTCAATATATTTTAGTACAAAAATTCTCATATTACATTTAAATGTTTTCTTTTAAAGTGGTAATTTTTAGATTAAAAATTCAAATGACTTTTTACAAATTTAACTCAATAACTTTTATTTTTAACAAATTTAAATTGATACATTTTTAACACAAACCTATTTGCATCACATTTAAATGTAAGTCGATAATTTTTAATTCACAAAGTGTAATCGCGGCTTTAGCTGACTGCATATGCTGCAGACTACCTTTACACTTTGTAAATTAAAAATTATCGACTTTAAATGTAAAATTGTTCAAAATAAATTTTTAAAGAGTTATTTAAATGATAGTCAAACATTTTTTAATTCAAAAATTACCACTTTAAAATTTAAAACTTACATTTAAATGTAAAAATATTTTATTCTACAAAAATTTTCACAATATTGTGAAAATTTTTGTAGAATAAAATATTTTTACTAAAATTTGTAAAAATCAATATTTTTAAGCTTAAATTTTTTACAGTATTTGGTATTTTATATTTAAAACACTTTTTGACTATCAATTGTTTTGGGTTTAAAAAAAATTTACTTGATCAATTTTGCGTTCAAAATCACTTCATTATAACACCGCTTTCGGTGCTGTAATGAGATACTTTATCCCACCCAAAATTTTGATTTTATACTTTATTTTGCAAATTGGTTATAATATTTTTTCTGGCAATAAATTTTGTTTAACACCAAAGAAAATCATTTTTTTCTTTTTTAACATTAACAGCCGCTTATTGTAAATAAGTAAATTAAGGACGGCATGGCGAATCGATTTTGACATTTGCAAAATAGATAAAATAGCATAATCTATAATATTTATAATCTGTGAATAGCATAAAGAACTCATGTCATAAGACCTTTTGACAAAATGACTTCTTATGACATTAGTTCTTTAATATACTATTATAAACTTCTGTTAAAAGATTGTTAAAGTGCTAAACTTTAATCTTAACTATTATCTAATAAATGCTTAAACGGCGTGCCATACTACTCCAATAAGTAGATAATTAAATGATTTTCAAAAATAAATAAATAAAATCTGACATCTGTCAAATGGTTAACCTCACATTTTACCAATTTTAAATGTTATTATAGTCGCCTTCTCCCAATTTAAAACTGGATTGGTTCAATTCACAAATTGGCCAATCACTGATGCCTAACAACGTCAATATTTCCGTTGGTAGATAAAAGGATTTTTGTAAACTTTTAAAAATCGTTTGTGTGTGTGTGTGTATTTCTTCTGGCTTCTGGGGATATTTGTCAGCCCAGTGTGCTGAATCTTGTGTGGGCTGCATCAGTCCGTAGCACCATGGGATTCAGCTCATTGCGCAGTCGCTAACAGCTTTGCCTCTAAACCGACTAACAATGTAACGTGCTTTAATTAGATATTAGTTGTTGATCGATGTGTGGGGACGAGATTCAGTAGTTGAAAACGCTGTTTCAGGCCTTATGGATCCGCTGCTTTGCAACGAACCGTTCGTACCTTTGGAGCCCCTAATGCAGTCGGAGTACAACTTTAGCTTGGACGCCTCGGAGGGTCTTGCCGACCTATTCGACTACGATATTTTTTCGTGCTAAAAACGTTTCGGGTGAAATTTACGCAAATAATGTACAACGGGAGATTGACGTCGCTTCGATCGCCTCTGTAGGATGTAAGACACGCTGTCGGAAAAATCAAGGGCAGTTTTTGGATCGGTTGAGCCCCAAGGAAGAAAATTAATTAATTTCTTGGATTCTTTTTGATTTTTTGCGTGGTGTAATGAGTGTAAGCTTATGTACAAATTTTTACTTAAATTTCGTTCGCAAGATAACCATACAATGCAATTTGAACATATCTTTAAATTTCCTTAGTTGTCGGACATACAAATAGTTAATATTTTGTGGGGCGATTTTTTAAATACATTTATTTGTTTAGTATATTTTTAAGGTTTTGCTAATAAACCTTTGTTGAATTGTAGGGATATTGTTAAAAAATTAAATTGTTGCAAATTTAAGGTATGTTTTTATTTCTGTTAAGCATTTCAGTTTCAATTGCGTAAAATTTATTTTAGGAAATGACTGAATTAGAAATGTAGTGTATTAAACAATATATAATATATTAGTATGTTTAATTTTAATTTAATTTATTGTATTTATATATTCGTAAAATTGTTATGGTGCTCAATATATTTTACTTTATTACGATTTTCAGTTTTCATTTTAAAACACCCCAAAACCAAAATATTCATTATTTTCGAATTTGTCACGTTCTAATATCATTTTCTATTGTATGGTATTATCTTGGGAACTACAGAATTGTTAACAAACTAAGTGTTCAATTAGTTTAAAGGAGATTATTTCTTTGAAATTACAGGTAATTTTTAATTCTCCAGGGGGGTTTTCTGTAAATTTTTTACTTGACTTTCTATAGAAAGTATTTCAAGTCGCAAATTTCAAGAAACCCCAGCCATTTTATATGGTTACTAGGGTGATTCATTTCCGCAAAGTTTTTGTTTTTTTTTTCGGTGCTCAGGCAAAATATTAATCTACCTATAGAAAAAAAAAATTTCACCAAGGTAGAGCTCTTAATATCAATTTTAAGTACTTGCAGTTTAAATTTAAAGTTTTCCCATTTAAAATGCATGTAAAAAAAATGGTTTTTTTTTTCAAATTTCTAATGCTTACCCACCTTTAACAATATTGCAAATCGGTTTAATACACCTTATGGGGAATTTCACGCTCTTTAAAATTGCTTTTGAGTTTTTTTTTTGTAACTCGCATTGGTTCACCAGTAGGAGTCGTCAAAGGACAGTTTTTGAAAAAAAATCGTTTTTTTTTTTATTTTTTCGAGCAAATTGCCAAAAGTAGTGAGAAAAAAGGGCTGATTCATAAAAAAAAAGTTATCCAACCAATATTTAATGAATTTACTGCCATTTTTATAACTGAAAACGTAAGAAATTGATAAATACCAACCCATAATGTTATTTAGATGGATTTTTTCTATTTATTATCATTATATTTCCCTACACTAAGAACTTTTTTAAAATTATTATGATTTCTCACTCATAATGAATATGAAAACAACACATAAATTCATAAAAAAAAAACAACAAAACTTTAATCGGAATATACAGAAGGTTATGTAACATATTTCAAATTTCGCTTCAAAAAATTAAATAATCTTCATTTATACTTTTTTGCTATTTTTTTATGAATTTATCTGTTGTTTTCATATTCATTATAAGTGAGAAATTAATAATTTTAAAAAACTTCTTAGTGTAGGGAAATATAATGATAATAAATAGAAAAAATCAATCTAAATAACATTATGAGTTGGTAATTATCAATTTCTTACGTTTTCAGTTATAAAAATGGCTGTAAATTCATTAAATATTGGTTGGATAACTTTTTTTTTATGATTCAGCCCTTTTTTCTCCCTAGTTTTTGCGGTTTGTTAGAAAAAATTAAAAAAAAAACGATTTTTTTTCAAAAACTGTCCTTTGACGACTCCTACTGGTGAACCAATGCGAGTTACAAAAAAAAACTCAAAAGCAATTTTAAAGAGCGTGAAATTCCCCATAAGGTGTATTAAACCGATTTGCAATATTATCAAAGGTGGGTAAGCATTAGAAATTTGAAAAAAAATATATATTTTTTACATGCATTTTAAACGGTAAAACTTTAAATTTAAATAGTAAGTACTTAAAATTTATATTAAGAGCTCAAACTTGTTGAGATTTTTTTTTTCTATATGCAGATTAATATTTTGCTTGAGCACCGAAGAAAACAAAAACTTTTCTCCCTACTTTTTGCGGTTTGTTAGAAAAAAATAAAAAAAAACGATTTTTTTCAAAAACTGTCCTTTGACGACTCCTACTGGTGAACCAATGCGAGTTACAAAAAAAAACTCAAAAGCAATTTTAAAGAGCGTGAAATTCCCCATAAGGTGTATTAAACCGATTTGCAATATTGTCAAAGGTGGGTAAGCATTTTTAAATGGGAAAACTTTAAATTTAAACTGCAAGTACTTAAAATTGATATTAAGAGCTCAAACTTGTTGAGAATTTTTTTTCTATATGCAGATTAATATTTTGCTTGAGCACCGAAGAAAACAAAAACTTTGCGGAAATGAATCACCCTAATGGTTACTAATGAGTTAACAAATAGTGAAAATAAACATTTTAATACAATCATTATTATGTTGTGCATCCTATATTTGACAAATTTTATTTAATATCTAAAAAAGAATTTCATCTATTTGTTAACTTAGTTTTCACATTAAAAGTATAGATGCAAATCTAAAATGACAAAAAAATTTATTTAATTAAACACTGATTTTTTATGAAAGTTCTTTTTCACCTCATTTAAAAAATCGTAAAAACAATGGCATTCGTTTTAACAAAAGAGCTCTTAATTAAGGCCAAAAACCTGTACATTTTTTCAGCACCTATTTTCAACTCCAGCACTTGCAGCTCAAATCTGGGGAGTAACAATTAATCCAAGCGCAATATCAATAAACATTTTCCAGTACAAATTCTCCCCTTAATTTTAAAACGAATACCACAATTATTCCAGTAAAGCTCAAGTATTTTCTTTAATTTAAGAGTATGGGGATATATGCTAAGTATTTAAATTGTAGTCACTATTTATTTATAGTTTTTTTCCCAACTTTAATTTTCAAGAATGACATTGTATATAAAAATTTTGATGCCATGATTTTAATTTTGATTGTAAAATATTATTAAAATAGCTATTCTTTGAAGTCCCTAGTATCTTTCGACCAAAGTGCCTAAGATTTGGTCAATGAAATTTTTACATAGATTGTATGACTAATATTTTTATAGTTTATATTTTAAGATTATTCCTCAAAATGAAAACAATATTTAACCCAACAGTTTGATTTACAATAAGCTTAAAAAGTACCAAAAATAAAATTATTTTAGGTAAAGCCTTTTAGTTTTTAAAATCACCTGAATAATATTTTTAATGTTAATTGTTTACACTGCTTTACCAACAAAAGCAAACAATAAATGGAATCCTTTGGTGCCATTTAAAAATAAAATGTACATATATTTATACACGCTTACTGGGCATTTTTGTCTATTTTAAGTTTTTATGATAAGAATTTTAATGTTTTACCTATTGTTGTATATTTTGTTAGTTTTAATTGTTTTGAGACACCCACTAAATGCATGGACTTTGGAATATTTCGGTGTTCATTTAATATCAAAAATAAACAAATTTTTTGTTAAATAAAAAATTTAAGTAAGGACATTTGAAAACTTACCAAAAGTATGTTTTCATAGTTCTTATGGTTAAAAATTTGGACACTGAATATTTTGAATGTGGCAATAAGTCCGTACTAGTCGTAAACCAGATGCAATTTTTATTTAATTGAATTTTTATTATATTTGACTTGACTGACTGTTTTTTATTTTGCAATTTTTTGTGGGTGTTGAAATTTTTGTACAATAATTAATTTTGGCTGATAGTAGAACAATTGTGATTCATAGGGTAATGTAAAATGCATTAAAATAATTAAAAGTTTGGTTTAAAAATTTTTAGTTGTGGTTGAGGGTAGTAGAAAAAACATTTCCTTTTAAAATTTAATGTATTTTATTAACTCTCGAATTGTCAATTCAAATATATTTACCCAGTATTTTAAAATAAAGATGTTTAAAGAGATTTTAGACATAGGTGAAGATTTTTTTTAGTTTTTTCCTGTCTAAAATCTGACCATGGCCAAGATAATTAAAAATATTTTATTACTTTACTGTTACTGTATATAATTTATTATTTTGATGTTTAATACATTTTTTTACATATATAAATGTCCATGCCAATAGAGGCCTTAAAATATCATTTCTGTAGACATCACAATTTCTACAATGTAAATAATTAATTTGTCAAATAAATATTAGATGCACAAGTTTATGTTTTATTTTTATTAATGATTAATATTTTAATTTTAAATAGAATTTCTCAAATATCGTAAACATTGCATTTAAAAAGTTACATTGGTTTTTGGTGTAAGAAATAGTTATTTTCCTAAGGGGCCTAATATTTTTGGCAACGTAGAAAAATTTAAACTATTCGGGAAACCGTACCCAAAGATAATACATGTGTATTATCTTTGACCGTACCTACTAATCCAATTGAGGTTATGTTCAATGACTTAACAACTGTCAATCTTGTTTGTTTTTTTAATTTAATTGTTTGTTTTTTATTCGTCGAAATGGGGATTAAAGGACTGACGACCTTTATGGATAAACGTAAAGGGTTGTTCTTCGAAGATTACCAACTGCAAAACACAAATCTTGTAATAGACGGCAACAGTTTGTGCAGTCAGCTTTACGATTTGCATTGCAAGCAAAGAAAAAACAAACAACCGAACGTTCTGTGGCAAAAATGCAACGATTGTTTTGGTGGCGACTACGATAATTATGCGACAGTTGTAAAGAAGTTTTTTCAATTGCTTTTGGACTGCAACGTTGTACCGTATCTTGTGTTTGATGGGGGATATGAGAAGAGGAAGTTAAATACCATATTGAGCAGAATGAAGATGAGATTTGAGCAGGCAAAGATATTGGATAGTGTGAATGAACCAGATAAAACTGTTTTCCCCTTGTTCTTAAGGGAAACTTTCATTAATGTTATTGATGAGTTGGGTTTAAAAAAGGCACGCTGTGAATTTGAGGGTGATAGCGAGGTTGCAAGTCTTGCTATGGCCTTAAATTGTCCTATGCTAAGCTATGATTCTGATTATTTTATGTCCAATGCTTTGTATATTCCTTTCAATACATTGAAAATGTCAAGGGATAAAACATACAGATGCATAAACTGTAAAGTTTATAAAATTGACAAATTTCTTAATCACTTTGGAGGAATGGACAAAAGAAATTTGCCAATATTGGCAGTTTTGCTTGGGAATGATTATATTAAAAGGAGTATATTTAAAGGGTTCTATAAAAATCTCAAAGTGAAAAAATATAATAGGAGAGTTAATGAGGAGCAACAAAATATTAAGTCTGTTATAACATGGTTAAAAAATGAGACTCACGATTCTGCTATAAAAAAAATTTTAAGTAAATTTAAACTGGATAAAAGGAAAATTATAGCTGAGAAAATTGAAAATGCCATTAAAGGATACAATGTCCAAAACAGCGTGTTTTTACAGTACTTCAAACCAGATATAGACCAAAAAGCTGTTGACAACATTAAAGATATTAAAATTGAATTTGATAACATTGAGGAGGATATTGACGAAGAGATAAAGGACACTGAAAGTGATGAAGACACTATTTCCGGCATTTACAATAAAGACTTGATGAAAAACTTGCCTGAAATATTTTTTGAAAAATATAGGGATTGCACTTTACCACCAAGTTTTATGGACATGGTAGTTCAACACAAATACTATTGTATTGCTATGCTTGAGGACTACAGTCTCAAACCTGCTCATTTTATAAGTTTCCCAATAGTTTCGGCAATTTTTAAAATAATTAACCACAATTCAAAAGAAAATTTTACTGTGGTAGCCAGGTGTAAAACCATGGAAAGTACATATGAAAACTATAATGTGCCTTTACCTGAAAAGTCACTGCCATGTTTTATGGACATTCAAACTATGGATGAGATATCCAGAAAGCATTTAATGCTTGAAATTTTAAATATTGACAAATCCTTCATAGATAATTGCCTTAATCATTTCCCTACATCATGGCAAATTTTGCTTATAGCTTTGAAGTATATCTATGCCAAAACTAAAACTTATACATTTTACTCCAACAGCTTAATATTGTGTGCGATTATTTTGAATTACTTTGACCCAAAAATTGGATATAACAGATCAACCTCTGCATTTGATAATAAGTATGGCAAAACAGTCAAACATTTAAAAGCTAAACTACAAGACTTTAATAGCATAACAAGTGGTTTGGATAGTATAACTAAAGATGAGGCAATATTATGTATGGATGGCATTATAAGTCATTTTCAAATGAACCCAAAGATAATGGAAGATAAATTATTATACAAGAGACATACAATCCACGATTTGGCTGAAATTCAAAGTTGTATTTTGCATTTGGTTTATCTTAACTTACTACTGAATTGCCCCTATAATATCTTCATGATCTACAAGTTCTATAACGGTACTTTCATGTACAATATGTCGGAAAACTTTAAGAAAAAACAAAGCAATCTTGACGAATACATGAAAACTTTGTTACAGAAATGCCCAAATGTTTTAAAAATTTTTGAGTTAATCCAGGAAAATTTTAAACATACTGTTTTTGCAAATGAAAGCAGTGCTCCTCAGGGCCAAAAAAAGAGAAAGATTAGCTGAAGAAGTTCTTCAACAGAAGTTGTACAAGATGCAGAACAAATGCAATTGTTTTACCTCAACAATAAATTTACTGCAGCTGCTTTACAAACAACATTGAATCCATTGGTGCCATTTAAAAATAAAAAGTACATATATTTATTAGAATTTTAAACGTTTTACCTATTGTTGTAGGTATCTATGTATATTTTGTTAGTTTTATTTGTTTTGGGACAACCACAAAATCTAAGAACTTTAAAATATTTCTTTGTTCAATCTTTTTGATCATTAAAATTTTTTAATATGGATAAAAATGTTCTACAATTTTTTGTGGTTGAAATTTTTGTACAATAATTAATTTTGTCTGATAGTAGAACAAAATTTTTAGTTGTGCACAACCAAAAAGCATTTCCTTTTAAAATTTAATGTAAAATACATTAAATTGCAAAAGAAAATGCTTTTTCTACTACCAACTTAGCTATAATGAATTGTACTAAAATCATTAAAATATTAATATTAACTCCCAAATTGACCATATGCAAGGAATGCGGTCGATGTTGCCAATGGTAAAAAAATAAAATTCCCTATTGGGAACATTCAATTATATTACGTTGGCTACATTGAAAATTTGAATTTCCCGCACAAACTAAATAAATTTCCATCTTTTTTTTAATAATAATAAATAATATTAATTCCCACATTTGAAATTCGGACCTTAATTTATTATACAACATTGAAACTACCTTCTTTATCTCTGGGAACTACTAGAATGTATGTCAGTTTGTGCGGGAAATTCAAATTTTCAATGTAGCCAACGTAATATAATTGAATGTTCCCAATATGGAATTTTATTTTTTTACCATTGGCAACATCGACCGCATTCCTTGCATATGGTCAATTGTCAATTCAAATATATTTAGATGTTTTTTTTAATAATTAGGGTTAAAGAGATTTTAGACATGGAAACCTTTTTTTATTGTTATTTATTCCTATCTAAAATGTCTTAAATGATATACCTAATAACAAATATTTTATTACTTTACTTGTATACTTTATATATATTTGATATTTAATATATTTTTTAAATAATATAATACAGGGTGTTAAAAAAAAGGATAAAATATTTCTAGGGCGTATGCCTAGTAGAGTCAAGAAGAAGACGAAAAGTCCTTTGGCGTCTTTTGATCTGACTCACCTTAAATTTAATTAGTTATTTACAAACTAAAAAGAATGTCAGAAAACAAAAAAACAAAAACTGACAACCAAAGACATTTAAGGTTCATTCATACCACTTTCGAATTTCTACAAAAGTGTTTTTTATAATTTTTACTTTATTTTCAATTTTAGTTTAGATTGATTTAACTACACAGCAAACGGAAAATTATAGAGGTGTATAGGATGACGCCACGTTTGAATATCGTTTTCTAAATCTCCCTACGGTATAGAGTTGTATTCGTCAGTCGATCGACCAAACGTGACTGACATTTTTAAATGTGACGTTAACGTGGCCAATATCTTAACTATAAAGTTGTGACCTATATATCTTTAACGAAAATTAATAATTTTGGAGATGTCGATTTGATATAGAATTTGCCTTTACCAATGCTTTCACGATTTTCCATAGACTTACTTTGCTAAATTAATCGTTATATAAACGTGACTTTATTGTCACGTTATAACGTTATAACAAAAGTCACGGTATACCGTGACTTTAACTTTACGATTTACCGTGTCTTTAGCTACCCTCTTAACTCTTTATTCAATTCGCCATTGACATTGACAAATAAGTACCTAGGTAGGTATATTGATCTGATTTTGTTCTGTTTAGTGTTCCCGTGCAACTAATTTGTTTTGAAATTGGTTTATTTAAAAATTATTAGCTTGTGTTTAGTTTTTATTAAATAGTATTTTCTTTGGAAGGCGTTAATTGTAAGTATTGTTTTTCATATTGTATTTCTATAAAAATAATTATAGGTTATGTTAACATTCATTTTATTATTTTAATGCCTTTTAACATTACCTAAATATTTAACAAGAACCTAGGTACCTAAGTGGTTTTGATTTAAAAACTTAATTATGCAAAAATTCTGTTTACTTTATTATGTAGAGGAGGTAGGTATATAATTATAACTAGTGTTCACATTAATACTTTTTTTCAGCTAAAGAAAAAAGAAATACAGCAAAATGTCGAATAGAAGAAAAAATATTGACTGAATATGCTTTAGAAAATTATTTATTTGGTTTTTATCCTTTTGAAGAAGAATATATTTTTTTTAGAGTTATTTATTTAGTTTTTTATTGTTTTTATAATTTGGTTTGAGAAATATATTGTTTTGTTAAAGGTATTATTAATTAATCATACATTCTTCTGAAACCTGTTCCATTTCAGTGTTTTGTGCTTATTTAATTATTTAAAATATACATATACTTAGCTATAGCTTACTATAGTAAAAATTCCAGCAATCTGAGACTTGAGCAGATTAGTTAAAGACAGCTGTCACTAGTGGCGACTGGGGGATTTGGGGTATACTGATATCTTAGTTATTAGACATGGGACCCAAAACTTTTATGAAGTTGTAATAAAATTAAAAATTGTTGCGAAAAAAATAAGTTTTTCAGCGTGCCCCCCTAATTAAGATGATTCAAATTAAGGTGGTGCAATTAATAACTCACTATAGTTTATAACAAATTTCAAAATTTATTTAAAAAATCCAAGATTACAAATATTATACCATTTTTTAAATTTTATTTTAGGATAAAAAAAGTTTAAATGATATAAAATCTACTTGGAATTTGAAATAAATTTTGAAATTTGTCGATAAACTGCACTGAGTTATTAATAGCACCACTTTAATTTGCATTATCTTAATTAGGGGGGCAGGGGACTGGGCTGAAAAAAATTACTTTTCTCGCAAACTTCAATTTAATATTATTATAAACTCATAAAAGTTTGGTTTGGGTCCTATGTATAATAACTGAGATTTTGGTATACCGGTATATATACCAAAAATCCACCAGCCGCCACTGGTTAAAGATACGGTCACAAATTCAAAATCGAATATAACTGTATTTTCGTGTTGATTTAGTAACGATAACAGCGTCACGTAAACGTTATGTCGATTCGGTTTAAAATCACGATAACGCTAACGTGACGATCACGTTATAACGGCAGGTGAGCGGTTTTGTAAAAAATTTGAGTTTAAAATTGATATAGTTTCGACCATTATACACGTGACGATAAAGAAAACATACATACAATTTCTGTCACTTTTTCGTTACGTTTGGTTACCTGGGGAGCGTTTCAATACTCTCCACAGTATAGAGGTCGTAATTTCACTTTTGAACTAGTATTAATATAAAAATTATTTTATGCTTAAAAAAACTATATACGACATGATTGTGATTTTTTTCATTTTATTAATTAATTAAGCTGTGTTGAATATTTTTCCTAAAGGAATAATTGCACTGAAAGAAATTTGTTGCTAAAAGTAAATACAAATTTATACTAAAAATTTTATACTAGTGCTTTACACATTTATACTACTGTTTATTATGAATGTATGGTAAATTTTGTAATACATTTATTGTAAAGAAGATATGTTAGATCTAAATAAAAATAAACTTACCCTTACTATAAAATGTAAACTATAAGTGAATTACAGCAAAAAAATATTGCTAGAAACACCATTTATATTGCTAGGGCAGCAATAGGCTGCTAACCAAACGAATATATTTGTTTTAGCAATGTATGTGGTAGTCTATATATGAAACATAAAATATATTTGCCCTAATTATTTTTTTATTTAACTTTAGTATATATTTCTTTCAGTGTGCCAATGGGCCATTAATTCATTTGTTCGTAGATGCTACAATAACCTGCACTGGTGTGTACTTTTTCATCAACCAGATTTAAATATTACAAAACTAACATATACCAGTGGAGATAGTGCAGGGTCTACCAACAGACCTAATTACTAAATTATTAAAGTTTAATAGCATATCGATCATTTTTTCAACATAACCTCTGAAATTTTTAATACAAATATAGGTACTTTATATAATACCTACATAAATATACTTAACATCATATCCTCTGTGCTTTACATACCTGAGTTGTTACGGTAAATAAAAATCAGACAAAGGAACCAAAGAAAGGAACTATTTTCAACAAAATCATATGCAGAAATGGGAAAATTCAAACTACTTGCATCCATAAAAAGATCAAAACTTCTTGCAATATTACACCCTCTTTAATTTTATACTCTCAGAAATATTGACTAGAACAGTAGACTCCAGTTTCTATAACTTGGTAGAGTAAAGAGAAGTCGAAACCGTTGCGATATTGCATTGCGCTGTTTTTGTATAATTCTCGGGGACATTAACGAAAATCATTGTCAGTAAAATTCGAAAAGCTTGAGTTTCTATGTCTCTGAGGAGAATAGGAATCCGAAGTTGCTGCACCATTGGACTGAACCCTTTTTTAATAATTTATAGAGACATAAATGACTGCACCATTCGACAGGGTCGAGTTTCTACTCCTCTGTTGAATATAGAAAATCAAAATAATGTATCTTGTAAGACACCATTGAGTTTGACTTTAAATATAGTCGTGCATAGGTAATACCTATGTATAGGTATAGAGCCGAAAAATATAAAAACAAAGCACGATTCAATACAGTTATGATAAAACTTTAAGATTTGATATTCAAACGCGGAGTCATCCTATAAACTTCTATAATTTTTCGTTTGCTGTGTAACGTTTTGTTTTAATTTTTATTTCAATGTGTTGAAAATATGTTAAGCATCTGAGCACATTGATTTTATTGCTCAGGCATTGTTTTTAATTAATAAACACATTGCATTTTTGAATACTACAATTAAATAAAAATTATAAAAAACATTTTTGTAGAAATCCATACCTACATTTTTTAGAAATCTATAGATAGTTCATATATTAACTATCGTAGTGTGAATTTACCTTAATTGTATGGTTGTCAACGTTGCTTTTAGGTTAAGTTTTCTGACATTATTTTTAGTTTGTCGCACCCACAAAACTAGTTTGTGGTCGCACCTCTACTTTCTAAAGCAGGCCTCTTTTGCTCCACTATACGTTCTAGATATATTTTACCCTTTTTTTAACGCCCTGTTTATATAAACATACATAATGTTTAATATCCATGCCAATAGAGGCCTTAAGCCTGATTTATAGATTGCCTTCCTTTCTTTCTTCCTTCCTCCCGTAAAAGTTGAACAACACTAAAACCGAACTGCTGTTTATAGATTACTGTATGGGAATCTATATTGTTTTCGTATTGTTAATCTTTTATGGAAGGAAGGTAATCTATAAATCAGATATAATTTCTGTAGACATCACAATTTCTACAATGTAAATAAATAATTTTACAAATAAATATTAGACAAAAACCATGTTCTATTTTTATTAATAATTTTCTATTTAATTTTAGTATCTTAATATCACCATTTACAACAAAGAATCTCTATAGTTACTAGCACAGATTATAAAGAGTCTAGTGGTTTATCTGTACTTTTAAGGCTCTGTGGTAGTAAACCTAGTCTCTGGATCATAGAAAAAGGATGAATTTTTCGTTTTTTTTTGTGTATTTATGCAACAATCTGGCAACGTAAAATATAAACTACTGGGACACAGTGCCTACCAGAGACAAGGGATCTCTGGTGCCTACTACTCTACTACTAGTGAGGTTATGTTCAATAACTTAACTGTTAATCTTGTTTTTTTTAATTTCCAAAATGGGAATTAAAGGACTGACGACCTTTATCAATCGCCGTACAGAGTTATTTTTTGAAGATTACCACCTGCACGACACAAACCTTGTTATAGACGGTAACAGTTTGTGCTGTCAGCTTTACTGTTGGCATTGCAAACAAAAATGCAACGACTGTTTTGGTGGCGACTACGATAACTATGCAGCAGTTGTAAGAAACTTTTTTCAATTGCTTTTGGACTGCAACGTCGTGCCGTTTCTTGTGTTTGATGGGGGTTATGAGAAGAGGAAATTACATACCATATTGAGTCGAATGAAGAACAGAATTGAGTGTGCAAAGAACTTGAATAGTGTTAGTGAGGGACATTATTCCGTTTTTCCCTTGTTTTTAAGGGAAACTTTCATTAATGTTATTGATGAGTTGGGTTTGAAGAGGGCACGATGTGAATTTGAGGGTGATAGTGAGGTGGCATGTCTGGCTAAAGCCTTAAATTGCCCTATATTGAGCTATGATTCAGATTATTTCATATTTGATGCTTTGTATATTCCATTCAGTACATTCACAATGTCCCTAAGCAGGTCTAGGGATAAAACATACAACTACATTTACTGTCAAGTATATAAAATCGACAAATTTCTTGATCACTTTGGAGGAATGGACAAAACAAATTTGCCAATATTGGCAGTGTTGCTTGGGAATGATTATATTAAAAGAAGTATGTTTTCAGAGTTCTATAAACATCTTAAAGTGGAAAAAACTAATAGGAAGGATAATGAGGAGCAACGAAATATTAAGTCTGTCATAACTTGGTTGAAAAATGAGACTCAGGAGTCTGCTATAAGAAAAATTTTAAGTAGGTATAAGCTGGATAAAAGAAAAATTATTGCAGAGAATATTGAAAATGCCATTAAAGGATACAATGTACAAAACAGTGTGTTTTTAAAGTACTTCAAACTAGATATGGACAAATATGCTATTGATAACATTAAAGATATCAAAATAGACTTTGAAAACATTGAGGAGAATATTGATGAAGAGATAAAGGACTCTGAGAGTGATGAGGACACTATTTCTGGCATTTATGACGAAGACTTGATGAAAAACTTACCTGAAATATTTTTTGAAAAATATAGGGATTGCACTTTACCACCCAGTTTTATGGACATTGTGGTTCAACACAAATACTATTGTATTGCTATGATTGAAGACTACAGTCTCAAACCTGCTCATTTTATTAGTTTTCCTATAGTTTCGGCAATTTACAAAATTATTAGCAACAATCCAAAAGAAAAATTAACTGTGATAGCCAGATGTGAAAGCACCTACAAAAACTATGAAGTGCCTTTGCATGAAAGGCCACTGCCAAGTTTTATGGACATTCAAACTATGGATGAGATATCCAGAAAGCATTTGATGCTTGAAATTTTAAATATTGACAAATCCTTCATAGATAATTGCCTTAATCATTTCCCCCCATCATGGCATGTTTTGCTTATAGCTTTAAAGTATATCTATGCAAACACTAAAACTTATACATTGTACTGCAACAGCTTAATATTGTGTGCAATTATTTTGAACTACTTTGACCCAAAAATTGGATATTACAGATTAACCTCTGCATTTGATAATAAGTATGGGAAAACAGTCAAACATTTAAAAGCTAAACTACACGACTTTGATAGCATAACAAGTGGTTTGGATAGTATAAGTAAAGATGAAGCAATATTGTGTATGGATGGCATTATAAATCATTTTCAAATGAACCAAAAGCTAAGGGAAAGTCAAAGATCATACAACAGACACACAATTCATGATTTGGCTGGAATGCAAAGTTGTATTTTGCATTTGGTTTACCTTAACTTGCTACTAAATTGCCCCTATGAATCTTTCATGATACACAAGTTCTACGATGGAACCTTCATGTACAATATATCAGAAAACTTTAAGAGAAGAAGCAATCTTGATGAATACATGAAAACTTTGTTACAAAAATGCCCAAATGTTTTAAAAAGTTTTGAGTTAATCCAGGAAAATTTTAAAAATATCGTTTTTACAAATGAAAGCAGTGCTCCTCAGGCCAAAAAAAAGAGGAAAAGAACAAAAAAAGAAGCTGAAGAAGCAAGTTCTTCAGCGGAAGTTGTACAAGAGGCAGAAGAAATGCAATTGTTTGACCCCAATAATAAATTTACTGTTTTATCAAGCATTGAATAAGTTAATTAAGTTATTCTTTAATTTAACTTTAAAACAGCATTTCAAAAACTTCATGTTTATGTAACATTATTTCATATTTTTAATAGCATGATTCTTTCAAGACTGTTCTATATAGAGAAGGAAAGAATAATTTTATATACCTACATACAATTGTAAATAACTTTTCCAATACTTTCACAAAACTTTATTACAATCACTAAGAAGAATTATATATATATACATGCTAACGTATCGGCTGTTTCATTTAATCCCATTTGTACACTTTTCCTGGAGTTATCAATTTCGCAGGCAATGAGGCATCTCCAGCATCGATCTCTTTGGGTTTTGGGGCCAGAACTTCTGGAGGGGCGACTTCTCTTCTGGCGTCTCTTTTAACGTAATAATTGGCACTCAAACGATGCGCGGGGCCGTCGGGAATCAAAGGGGGTGGTGGTGATCTTGTAGCAATGGTGTCCTGGAATCTTAACGCCAAAGTGTGTTTTCTTCCGAGCAGAAAGTCTCTGATGGTCTGGATGAAGGGGTTGACGTCGTGGATTTTAACTTTTGGTGGCATTTTTGATGATGGTTTTCACAGAAGTTCGATTCTGCGAGTTTTGCTCACTGAAAATTTTTAGGTTATGATGATTATGACAGATGACGGTTGCATAACCAACCCATATACTTACTTACTTATATACGTAAGTATATGAACCAACCTTATTTTTTACCACAATTGATGAGATTTGGACCATGGATTAAAGAACTCATTTAAACGAAAAATTTTTAAAGCCATTTGCGTCCAAAAAATAAACATTTCATTTTTTTATTAAGCGGGTTCAGCCCAAAAAAAAAACACAACATAAATATAAAAGATTTATTTTTAACAGTTTTTAAACAAAACATAATGCTAAATGACTACAATAATCAGGAATATCAGTACATTTAACTTATTATAATCAAACATTTGTTAAATGCACATGGTCTGAAATTTTTTAGTTTTTAACTTAAAATAATTTTACAACACAAAAAATTCAGACTGTCTTCTCACGGAGAATGTAACAACAATATAAAAAAATAGAAAACAGACTTATTGGTTAACTTTAGCTAAGATATCGGATTCTCTGTACAAGTGGTATTCAGCATTTTCTTCTACGTTTACTTTGGTGCCTCCATATTCTGGGAGGAGTACATTGTCTCCTACTTGTACTGAGAGAGGAACAAGGTCTCCATTCTGAAAAAATATATTTTAAGTAAAAAAATTATAAAACCCAAAAATTTGCATACTTGTGTTCTGGTGCCTGGTCCTACAGCCATTACAATTCCCTCTAATACTTTGGTTTGTGCCTTTTCTGGAATAACAATTCCTCCTTTCGTTTTGGTGATGGCTTCTGCTTTTTTGATTAGAACGCGGTCAAAAAGGGGGATCAATTTCTTCATGGCTCCAGACTAAAAATTTAACCATCAAAATCAACCATTTTATCGCAATTAAATGTAATACGTACCATTTTTGTGGGTTGTGTGTGAAAACTGTTAAAACCACTTGGAATAAAGCCTTTAAGCGGAATTTAGAATCTTCCAGAAACGTGCCGGCGGAATCAATGGAGGGAGATCTAGAGGCAGTGTTGCCAGATGGAAATTCTTGTCAACAGTAGGAAAGTAGCCAAAAAAACAGGAGATCACTTTTTTCAACAGGAGATTTATAAAAAATATATTTTTTTATAGAGGAACACAAGTACACGCACAAACCCATATAACACAAATATCCATGGGACGTCCGCTGGACATTTTGTGTGCTGAGAAATATAAAAAAATATAATAACATAAATAATAACATATAAACGCGAATCGTTGATTGTGTACATAAACTGAGTAACAGAATATATAACAAACAAATTAAATTTTAAATATCACATAAGATGTAGGTATAACATCAAAAACTCCATAAATGTAAATTTAAACAAAATAAATAGGTATAAATACAATTTTATTAATAATAAACTGAGGTTAAAAACAGTAGATCTCATAGTGAAAACAGTAGAACAGGAGTTCGAGAGTGAAAACAGGAGATCTCCTGTTAAAACAGGAGATCTGGCAACACTGTCTAGAGGTTATCAGAGGAGGTTGGGAATTGTACAATCACCGACAGATTTTTTATTCGCTGTCTTATTTGAATCCTATAAGAGCAAGGGAGATAGAAGTATTACGTAAGTAGATTTTTATGACGTTTATTAATGTGCTCTGTTTTTGTTGTGCACTTTTGCTGGTAGATGGCGGCAGCCATGTCAATTTTTAATATACAGGGGAAAGCAAAACTAAACTATTTCGATTTTAATAATTTACTAATTATTAATTTAATAATTATTAATTAATTAATGATAATTAACTATTGTATTACAAAAGTTGCAATCTGGCCGACTATTCGCATAGGAGTTATGAGTTTTTTTAGACTTTTTTGGCTGTTTTTAATTTTTTTTTACTTTTTTTTTCATATCCTCGATTATTCAGATATTTTTTATGAAAAGCCAAAAATGTTTACTTTCACTAAAAAATATCAAAACAAAAATAAACGAATTCGCAACTAAAATAAAACTAAAATTTTAAAATAAAAATGCAATATTCGCAGATTTATTTCTTTAATTATTACTTTTTTAATTTTTTTTTCTGTTTCTATTTTTTGTATGTGTGTACTTTCCATAAAAAATATCAAAATTATCAAGGATATTTAAGAAGATTTAAGATAAAAGTGCAATCTGGCAGATTTTTCGCAGTTTTTTAATACTTTTTTTGAGACTTTTGAAGTTTTTAATTTTTTACTTTTTTTGTCTTTTTTTAATATCCTCGATAATTTCGATATTTTTTATGAAAAATTACGTGTACTTTCCAAAAAAAACAACAAAATTTGTCGTAGAAAAAGTAAAGTATGCACCTCGTTTATAAACTTTTCTATACACTCATTAATTTAATCACTCGCTCGCAAGCTCGCTCGTGCCTAAATTAAATTCGTGTATAAAATGGCGTTTATGAAACTTGATACATAATATACTATTAAAAATCGCATTTTTTTGCAGTTTTTTTCAAACTTTTCAAGGATAAAAAAAGGCAAAAAAATAAACGAGTTTAAAGTTTAAACTTTAAACTTTAAACTAAATTTTAGTTTTAGTTTAGTAAACGCGTTTAGTAAATACTAAACGCGTTTACTAAACTAAAACTAAAATTTAGAAATAAAAGTGCAATATGACTGAATATTTGCAGATTTATTAGTTTTATTATTACTTTTTTAGGATTTTTTGGTGTTTGTATTTTTTTACTTTTTAGTATTTTTTTCGTATTCTTGATAATTTTGATATTTTTCTTAAAATCCAAAAAAGATACGTGTATAACCTATAGGTACTTTCCATAAAAAATTAAAATTATTAAGGATATGAAAAAAAAAACAAAAAAAGTCAAACCAACAAAATCAACGCGTTTGGGTAAAAACGAAAATTTAAAAAAAAAGTGTAATCTTGCCCATCATTTGAAAAGTTATGATTTCTTTTTTTACTTTTTTGAGACTTTTTTTGCTGTTTTTATTTTTTTACATTTCCTTGATATTTTTAATTTTTTTATGGAAAGTACACGTATCTTTTTGGATTTTAATAAAAAATATCAATATTATCGAGAATACGAAAAAAGTAAAAAAAGTATATTCCATAGAAAACATCATAATATAAGAATATTAAAAAAAATACAAAGAAAGGCAAAACGAAAAAATAAAGGGGTTTACTTAAAAACGACAATTTTGAAATAAGCAAAGAAATTTATATTTATATATATTTTATATTTATATAATAATTACCTACCTCTTGAATGGTTCGATAAAAATATATTGTTTTGAAAAAAGTTTCTGCCATTTTAAAACCTGGATTTTTAATTTTTTTGAACTACCCTTAACGGTTTTTCAAAACAATATTTTTTATCCGAAATCGGCAGTAAAGTAGTCAACAATCGGCAGTAAAGTAAAAGAAATCGGCAGTAAAGTAGAACTTTACTGCCGATTTAATACGAGTATTGTATGCAACCCATTATACATTTTAAGATGTGTCTACTGCTCCTCAGCAGCAACTAAATAATATTAAAAAAAGGCACCGTCGCAAAGGTGAATTGGACCCATTCATAAAATGTTGTTTAATAAAAAATATAAGTTAATTTTATTAATTAAATTAAAAAATCGCCGCGGCAGGCAAATATATAATAACTGTCGCTGGTTTGGTGCAAGACTATCCTAAGTCCATTTTTAAAGAATTGGAGACAAATACTATTTATTAAACATTTCTATGTATTGTAACTAAATTGTTTTTTTTGTCATTCTTGTAAAACCTTACAATTTTTAAAAGAATGACGCAAAAAAACAATTTAGTTACAATAAATGAGTACATTAGATCCACAACTCTGTATTTGCAGGATAAGTGATTTTAAGAAAAACACGAAAAACCGCTCATAAGGTCATATTTGAAAAAAAAATACAAAAATCGTATAGATGTGCTTTTGCATCATTTCTTATTCAAAGAAGTAAAAAAAAGTCCTTTAAAATTAAGTAGTTTAGTAAATAATTGAAATCAAAAGATTTAAAAACATAGTTTTGCATCTTCCTCGTTCAAAGACCAAGTTTTGCAAGTGAAAAGTGCAAATACCAAAAAAATAACAATTAATCAGGTGATTGTTATGCCGTTAGTTAATGCGTATACTAGCGACGTGATTGGTGATTGGTCAAATACCGAGTTTTGCATCCGACAGGAAGAAACAAATACCCAGTTTTGCAGCTGCGGTAAGTTTATAAATGTATTTTATTTTACAAATATTAACTTATGCATCTGGTTTACTTAGTTCCCAGGTAGCACAACGTAACGAAATCTTGACGTAAACGAGACGTTTTCAGTCAGTCGTGACTTGGACGTTATTTAAAAATCGTAACGTATTTAATTAAAAACAGTTGCCAAACCGCGCTAAATTTAAGTATAGATTTTGTGACGAATACGTTACATTAATATGAATAAAAATCTTCACGATGTAGTTAAGAATACGCCGGATTCTTCACGATGATTTGTCACAGTTTCGTCACGACGCTTCGTTACCGAATAGTGAACTGAACTGGTCACGTAATTGTGGCGTATAGTTGCATTATTTGGGGGTGTAATAATATTGTGTAGTGTAATGCAGTGCAGTACGGTATAGTGGGTTGTTTTGTGTATTGTGGAATTATTGCTTACCTTCAAAGTTTTGTAATTTGATTTCAACCTCATCATCAGGTTGAAATCAAATTACAAAACTTTGAAGGTAAGCAATAATTCCACAATACACAAAACAACCCACTATACCGTACTGCACTGCATTACACTACACAATATTATTACACCCCCAAATAATAACATATTGTTGTTAGGATTGTTTAGTTTTGCAATGTTAATGCAAAGAAAGCACATTTAACTGAATTATATTTTATTAGAAAAACAATAAAAACATATTCTACAATAAACTATAATAATATGTATATATATATATAGAAAAACACTAACAAAATAAAAAAATATTCCTCTTATAAATACCTCCACTTTTGAAAACCAGCAATAATTGCAATTAGTTTTCAAATTTCATATCTTTGAAAAAAAAATTAAATTATTTTTCTATTTTAAGGATAAAACAGTACACAAAAATATAATTCTCCTGTAGAATAAAACACTATTTTATTAGAATATACCTAATATAAAAAACAGTATAACAAAATAAACAAGTATTTCTCTTATAAATTAAAAAATGAAATGAATGAAGTCAATTAATAATTCATGTAGTATAAAATTTTTATTTTATTTCTGCAGTTTCTTTAACTGCAACATTTATTTATAATAAACTTACTTAAATAACACTAGGGTTCAGCTGAAGTACAAACCTGTGATTTCATCTTATCATATGTATGCTGGAAGGCATACATAATGTGCTTTTCAACGTCATCCTTTGTAATATTTCTTTCCCCCGAGACAACCCAAGACAATTAAGAAATAAGTAATTTTCTCCATGGCTTTGTTAAAATTTATTTCACGTACAAAAAAATGTATTTTTTCGTCTTTCAGTAGAAATTCAACTTAAAATACTATAATAATAAATTTGTTAAGGATATATTAACACACTAAAAATGTTGTGGTTACTTATATTTTGTTGCTACAGCAAAACATTTCTTAGATTAGAGTGTGGAGTTGTTTAGCATTGCAGACAATTGTCTTAAGCTACTGAAATATAGAAAAGCAAAAGTACTTACGGTTTTAAACTATCCTTTTGTTTACCATTAAAAACTTTGCAGAAATATAGAAAAACCTACAGAAACCAATGGCTTGGGTCGTTACCAAACATTCAAAATGGAGATCCTACTTTATCTAACATATGACTATTGGCGACTACGCATTGGTGTTACGACTTTACGTGATGTTTTCGTGACGATTTGTATAAATATTTTGTAACGTTTTTGTAACGAGCT